AAAAAAAAAAAAAAAAAAATTAGAAAAGGCATACACTTGCTAAAGGACAAATGTGCGATGCCTACCTGGAGGGAAGAAGAAAAAATAAAGAAAAATTACATGCTCTCCAAAAGCGTCTGTCTAAAAGCGTTTGGGGCATCCACCCCTCCAAGCGGGGAAGAAAAACACATTTATCACATAAGCTATCTCTATGCGTATAGGTATGGGCACACGTGAGAATTCCTTCTTTGCGAATCGAAGTGATGTCCCTTCTTATGAGCTTCCCCCTTTTTTCAAGCTGGGTTCACCATCACAATGAACGCAGGAAAAAAGTGCTCACACGGTGCACCCCTTTTGTAGTCTGCGCGATAGGGCTAAACACACAACAACGGGGGTGGCTTACTAATTCGTCCATTCGGGAAGGTAGCGATTGGAGTGTGAATGTTTATAAGGGCGTAACCCCGATAAGGAAGCTCCCCTGATAAGGAAGCTGTTCCGATAAGTGTTCCCCCCCTACGATGGAGGACAACTTCTCCGAGCTGTTCCCCGGGGACGGCGACCCAGACAACCTGAGACAGTACCTGAACCAGGGGGACATCAAATTTGAGAATGAAGATCTGAAGAGAGAAAGAGAACAAATAAAAAACGATCCCCAATTCGTGCAATGCGTAAAAAACATATGGACGAACGTGCTAAACAAACCTATGGATGGAAGATTCACCAAAGTGGAGTACTTTAAAATAATGCTCCGAATCTGTAAAGTGCTAATACCTCAATTTGATATCAAAGAGGTCATCAAAATCGTGAGTGACGAATGGAACAATGATTGTAAAGGGAATAGGTATTTAACCTTTGAATCTTTTTTTAATGCGTTCTTCGAACTGACGGATATTTGGACGCCGACAATAAATGCTAGTGACTATGCTCACTTTCTGAAGACGCTATTTTACAGAATCACCTTCATCGAAATTAGGAAGAAGAATGGAGAGATTGTAAAGAAAAAACCCGTCATTATGATACATTTTAGGAGAAAAGAAGAGATGAAAAAGCTATCTCTTTTTGACAACCCAATTTTGGGTTCTAAAAATGGACATAATGAGGAGGAGGATGATAGATGCAACAGCTTCATCAAAAATATGAAATCTATAAAAAGGCTATCCAGCCAAGTGGAACAATTTAAGAAGCAATTCACAAAACGGTTTAGCGATAGCTATAAGATTCAGGACTCCTTCCTTTACGATGATGATCTGGATGGACAAGACATATTGGATCGCAACTTGTTTGAAAATATACTCAACAATAGGCATCATGATTCGTATTTGCAGAAAAATATTGTTCTGCTTGATGTGGACGAGATAAACCCACTGGAGTACCTCGATGGGACAGACTCCCAGGAGGGAGACTCCTCCCCCAGGGGGTACCCGCGCGACGGTGATTACGCCGCCAGTAGGGATGGCCGCCTCTCCTCAGCGGGTAGGAAAAAAGAATTACAAACGTACAAGCGTACGAATGTATTGCCTTAGTGCAATAGCGCATCAGCGGCGATTATATCGACGCCGTTCTTTATGGGGCATCGCACCAGTGGACCTACCCCTTCCACAGACACAACACAAATACACCCCACACCAACACAACATAGACAAAGGAAGGACCAATGAAAAGTCAAAACCGACGAAAGAACAGAAGAACCAACTGAAAGATGATCCGACGAAGAGGAAAAAGGAACTATGCAGCGAGGCGGTGGAAAAGTCTCAGTCAGGCATCCCGGGAAGCATCGAAAAAAGAAACACCTTCACCTTCGCAGTGAAAACGGGAAAGCAGAATGAGGAAGACGAGGAGGCGGACAAAGGAAGGAGGAAGACAGAGGGATCCCTAGCAGACAAAAAGGACGTACTGAAGGAAATTCAAGAGAGAACCAAGAGGTCAAGCGGGGATGAACCGGGTGAACACGGTGAAGCGGAAGAGACGGGCCCCGGTGAAGGAGAAGGGGCCGCCGCCGCTCAAAGTAACGAAAAAATCAGCCTGGAAAACTCCCTCCTCATTGACGGAATAAACTTTGCTGAATTCACTAAGGAGTGCAAAATCGTCGATTTGGATGACCACGAGGGGGATGGCGCTGCCGATGGGAAGGACATCGATGCGGAGGAGAGGGGCCCCTTGAGTGACCTCAACCCGACGGAGAAGAGGCATTTCCTGCGCCTGGACTCGAACCTGGATTTTGGAGAGGAGACGCTTAGGAAGGGGGCGCGGGAGGAGTTCCCCCATCTGGGCCAGGAGGGGGATCATCAAGATGGGGAAGCCGAAGGGGAAGCAAAGGTAGAAGGAAACGTAGAAGCAAAGGTAGAAGGAAACGTAGAAGCAAAGGTAGAACGAAACGTAGAAGCAAAGGTAGAACGAAACGTAGAAGCAAAAGTAGAAGGAAACGTAGAAGCAAAGGTTGAAGGAAACGTAGAAGCAAACGTAGACGCGAATGGCGAAGCTGCAGGCGATGTGGAGGGCAACTCAGCGGATGACCTAGGCAGGGACGACCCCAGGCAAGGCTCCCCACGAGGAAGAGGAAAGAAGAAGGGCAAGAGGGGCGACACTCAGAGAGGAGGAGAAGAAGAAGAAGTGCAGGGAGATATAGGCTCATCGGTTGGGGAAGGAAAAAAGACCGCTACCCCACGTGATGATGACGATGAAGTGTCAACTCAGAGAGGTAAAGGCGACATCCCTTCGGGGGAAGAAGCCTCGCTTGTGAAGCGACTCGAAGAGGAGTCTCACAAGTCTGAAGAGTCTGTGGTACAGAAAGGGGTCAACGAGGGAGGAAGTCCTAGTCCAACCAGAGGGGTAGAAATGGAAGAAGCTAAGGATGACCCGCATGGGTCGGATGAAGAATACGTGGATGTGTTGAGAAGCAATTTGAGAGTAGCGGCGGAAGCGTCGGAAGCGGCGGGAGGAGAGGACAAAGAGAGCGCGCCGAACGATCAGCGAGAAGGTAGATCGAAAAAATCAATCGATCTGCTTAAGGCTAAGAACTACCTCGAGAATGAGAAGCGCACTTTGGAGGAGCTAAAGCAGGAGAAGGACAAATTAAGGAAGGGGGAAAAAAACGATACCTCGCTGGGGGAGCTGTTCGATGAAAGTCGGACCCAATTGGAAAGACAACTCAGCGTGAATGACATTGACGGTGCAGCAAAGAGAAAGAAGATTCTCCTTGGAGATGGGTCAAGCGGTTCCTCCTTCAACATAAAGGACATTTCGTTTGATGACAAGTTGGATAAAGAAGTGAGGACGAAGGAAGAGGAGGAGAAGCACGAGGTGAAGCGCCAGCGGGAGGAGGCGGCAAAAGGGGAGGACGCAGCAGAAGAGGGGAATGCAGCAACCGGGGGCAGTATCGCTGAACACGGGGATGACGCAGCCCAAGAGGGGGATGCAGCAACCGGGGGCGGTATCGCTGAACACGGGGATGACGCAGCCGAAGAGGGGGATGCACAGCTTAACCAGCAGAGGGAGCTCCTCCAAACGGTGAACAAAGACATGGCCAATAAAATGGATTCCTACAAAGGGAATGTTGATATATTTATGAAGAAAGTGAAACGGAGGAGCGCTTCCAAGGGGGAGACAACCGATGAGCATGTTAATCGCGTTGATCTTCCTGATCAGTCCGAGGAAGAGGACGCAGTGTGGGAGGACGAATCAGCGGAGGGAGACTCCCAGCTGAATCGATTCGGTAGTGCGGATAGCCAAGGGGAGACAAACATCTCCAAGATGAAAGACGAATTGCTCCAAAGCCTAGAAATTATAAAAAACATCGATGAAAAGAACAGAGATGATAGAAGCGGGACCTCCCCATTCGATATCAATAGAACCTTTAGTGAGATGGGAAAGATATTAAATGAAGTCATAATTCAAAGTGAGGTGGCCGTTTTGAAGAAGGGCCAGGAAGAAGCGCTGTTAAGGAGCGGCTCCCCAACAGACGAATCGCAACTCCTGGGGGATGAAATTCAGGATGATCTCGTGAAGGACATAATCCGTAACGAAGACGCTGTGAGGAGTATTCTCTTTGATGATGACGAAGTGGAGGGAGGTGGACACACTGGTGTGGGAAGCTATACGGCGGGCCAGAGCCAAACGGGGGCATCCCCCACATCGACTCGAAACGAAGGGAAAGAAGCTCTCCTAGAGGGGGGACTTCATACTGGCATAGCTGACGCAGCGCCGATTGATGATCAGCACGCTGTGCAAAGGGTATCCACTGATGGTGAGAAAGACTTGGCGAGTCATCCCGGTGAGGCGAACCGTGAATCATTAGAAAACAGTGTAAAGAGTGATGGAAAAAATGACGTCGTAGGCTACCCCGGCGGAGTGAAACGGGAGTCATTAGAGAGGCGCAAAAGGGACCGGTCGGACGAGCAAGTCATCAAGGAGCAGGGGTCTCGAGGACGTGCCATGAAAGGAATGGAAACACCTGGAGGGGTCATCGAAAAAGTGGAGGCTACAGTAGGGGCCATGAAAGGAATGGAGCCGCCTAGACATATGATCGCAAAAGTGGAGACACCTGGACAAGCCACCAAAAAGGTGGAGGCTACCGAACGGGCCATGAAACGAGAGGCGTCTCCTGAACAAGGCGGAGAGGGAGGAATGACGGAGGGAAGCATCACGGCAGGAGGTATAACCGCAGAAGGCATAACCGCAGAAAGCATTACCACGGGAGGTATCACAGCGGGAGCCTTCACCGGAGGTGCATCGCTAGTGCAAGCACTAACTGGGGGAGCAACGGAGGAGGGAGCGGCTAACCTCGCTGACATGGTTAACCATGCTGAGACGGCCACCCCTGCTGATATGACCACCCCTGCTGATATGACCCCCCCTGCTGATATGACCACCCCTGCTGATATGACCACCCCTGCTGATATGACCACCGCCGCTTACACGGCCAACGCCGCTGACACGGCCAACGCCGCTGACACGGCCAACGCCGCTGACACTGCCAATGCCGCTAACAAGGGCAACCGCTCCAAGACCAAGTACCTGCTCATAGAGGATTCTCACAAAATGAGACACTTCATCAAAATAAACAGAAGGAAGAAGAAGGAAAATTTCGTAATCATGTCCAGGCGGAGAGAAAGCTACGTCTACCGTTTTGCGAAAAGATTAAAAGTGGACCTCATCGAGCCGTCTCTAGTATTGAGAAAAAATCTAACATTGGAAAATCACTTTCTGTCTCCACTGGGGAAGTTAATCAATGAGGAGTTAAGGGATGGAAAAAGCATCGACTGTAAGAAGGTGATGGATCTAACGTTAGAATCTCTGAATAGTATCATTTCGAAAAATAATGGATCCCTTCTCTACTTGACGGGCAAGTTTCTCCATTACGGTGAGTACTTTCTCCACAAATGGAAGAAGCTCTCCTCTTTGAATTACCTCAATTATATGACTTTCCTGAATCTGAATTTGGTAAAAAATGTACGATCGGGGGATGGGATCGTTGTGTCTAACTTTCTCCTGGAGGATCGCCACTTGATTCTTGCCAATCCGTTTAAGGACAGCTTCCCCTGTTTCTGTGTCCTTCTGCAGGATCACGAGGGGGTGGGTAGGTAGGTCACTCGGCTGGCACTTCTCCCTTCGGACTGCTCAGCTCGGCCTACTCAAGTCACTCCTTAGGGTGTTCCTGGTGAGAGTACGCCGTCTTCTACATCTGAGTGTCATCCATGTCTCCCCATTTTTCACCCAACCGCAGGAGCGAAGAACGAACCCACGTGGAGGGCATCTACGAAGAGCTGCTGAACCGTTTCTGCGGAAGGAGTTGTTCTGAACCCCTCCAGATGATAAACGTTGATGGGGGGGATGTGCATCTGGGTAGCAATTTAGGTAAAAAGAGGAAGCAAAAGAGGAGTACCTCATCCGGAGTCGCCCCTTCTGTGGGTTCTAGCGAGGGGGACGAGGCAGATTCGCAGGGACAAGGTGATGGCCCCTCAGGGGAGGATTCAGAGGGGGACTCTACAAATGAACAGGGTGATGCAGAGGACGAAGAGATGCTGCGGGTGTTACAGAGGGAACGGCTGCCGGACGCCACGGATGCTACGGATGCTGCTATCGCTGCGAACCTCTCCGACCCACCTGAAACGGTCGATGAGGACGTGGGCGCAGAGGAAGAGTGCCTGACCGTGGGGGGGTCCGAGGAAAACTACGCCCAAGGGGGGGGCGCCACGGAAGAGGATGACACAGGGGAGGATGATACAGATGACGATGAGACCGATGAAGATGATACAGATGAGCATGAGACCGATGAGGACAGCACCGATGGAGATGACACCGACGAGGAGGGAAGCAAGGCCACCTCCCCCCGTAGACAACCCAGCAAAGAAAACATCCACGCAAAGCGAACTTCCCGCGGAATCCTAAACGTAGAAAATATAAGTGAAAAATACTTGAGCCAAATGAGTAAAGAAATGTGTTACGTTTACCGGTGCGACGACCCCGAGAAGTACTACAGGGATTATTATGCTGAGTTGAGGAGAAGCATCAGCTGCATGAAGCTCGAGAGGGACATTCGCCTGCTGGTTGAGGGGGTCAGCGAGTTGCACAAAGGGGACACCGCCAATGGGGGAAGCAGTAGTCATGAGCTGTCACCACCAGAGGAGGGGGGACACGTAAAAGGAGACTCAGCAGGCGAAGCAGGCGAAGCGGACCAATCGGGGGGACGAAAGGAAGAAGATGTCGCCCGCGCGGTGGCGGAAAAGTTTGGCATCCGACTCATTCGCGTGGATATGGTTAGCCAGAGGAGCATCGGAAGAAGCGGCAAAGGGGACCGACGCGACGGACAAGACCAACGCGACACACCCGATGAGGACACCCTCTGGAAGATTTTCCACGTCAACATGATCCGAAATCAATTTTCTTACCATCTTAAAAATAACTTCTTCCCGTTCAAGTACTGTCCGGAGAAGGGGTCTAGCGTTTTGGTGGTGAACCTAAAGAGGAGGATCCCGGGGAGGGAGTCCCCATTGGAAGACACTGCCCGCAGGAAAGAAGGAGGAGGCGATACGCTGGAAGGCGCCATTGGAGTTGATAAATCTGGTCGTGGAAGAGCACCTCACGGAGTTCAGGAAGGTGACCGAGTTGATGCAGCTGATGTAGTTGACCGAGATGATGGCGTCTCCGATGAAGGGGAAGACGCAGACAGGGGGTCCGCCTACGCTAGTGCCGTGGAGAAGGGTTCCCTTCGAGGGGATAGCCTTCCACTGACGCAAGCCAAGTCGGGCGGCCGCCAAAGCAAGAAGTCCTTCGTAGGGCACAGAAACCTGCGGTACTACCGACACTGGGGTGACTACTACCAGTACTGTCCCGTGACCTACGTCAACGAGAGGAGGTTTGTCAAGGGAAAGAAACAGTTCATGGCGACTTACAAGAATAAGATGTACCTGCTAGACAGCGCTTCAAAAATGAGGGAGTTTCTGATGTATCCGAAATTTTACACCAGCAATAAGATAAAGGAAAACATAAGCTTTACTATGGTTATTTATTTTTCCAGTATGGACGTACAGAAGAAAGTGATGAACGTTGTCAGGGAGACAGAGCGGGTGGTGCACATCGACTTGGAGGATTACTTCCAGAGGTTCTTCCTCTCGCTGGAGGATCTGACCTGTGAGGAGGGGAAGGGGGTGGAAAAGGGGGGACAAGACGGAGCAGAGAACCCAGTCAGGGAAACTCACCCCAACGTAGACTCCTACCTGTTCGAGATAAATCGGCTCGTGGAGGGAAAAACCGTGTCGCCCCTCTTCATCGTCCGGTACCTGTGCATGCGTATGAACAAGGAACACTACTTCAATGTGTTCGTCCTGCGGCAAGTGGAGGAAGGGCTCCACGAACTGAGGCGGCACATTGAACGCGTCTTTAGTGGAGGGAGCGCAAATGGGGTGGCCTCTAAGGGAGAGGACTCTCCAGGGGATGACCCTACAGAGGAAGATCCTACAGAGGGGGACTCCCCAGAGGATGACCCTACAGAGGATGACCCTACAGAGGATTCTCCCCCAGAGGACAATCCTACGGAGGATGCCTCTCAGAAAAGAATCTCCCTAAAGGCAGTTAAAATCAAGGCCCTCCACAGCCTGCTAATAGGGAAAGGTAGCTCCTCGAAGACGAACGTCCAATTCATCTCCTTGGTGGACGACCTATTTAGATGCACCACGTTGAGCAGCATAAACAAGACGATTGAGGAGTTACTCTGTGTTATCTCGATGCAGGTGGAGGAGGAAAATGGGAACTACGCCAAGGAGTTAGAAAGGCGAAGTGACTACCAGTGGAGGCAACCCTCCTTAGGTGATTCACCATCGAGGACAACCCCTCAAAGCACTCACTTCATCATAACGGGGCTCCCCTTGAATAGAAAAGTATACGAGTTCCTAAAGAAAGTGAACCTCCAGATAGACACGATCATCGCATTTGATGTGAAGAAGGAGGAGAAACAAATGAGACAGGACATACATCAGGGAATACTCGGACGAACCGGGATGAGCAGCGATGATCTATGCGAAATGACGTGGAGACACGACTCCATGTATGTTTGTAGTAGGCATTACAAAAAAGAGATTAAACGTTTGAGGAGAGCAAAGTACCAAGTCCACTACCTCAAAATGGGCAACGAGACGAACGTTAGCCATTACGCGAATGAAGTGAGGAAGCTGATGAACCCGTACGTGCATTCCTATTATGACTATAGTGAGGTGCTGAGGGATAAGACTCTGGCAAGTAAGCTAAACTGCTCCTTCACCAATGTGTATTGCCCCTATCTTGTATCGAAGCATAACTGGTTGTACAAAAGCGGAAAGGGGGTAAAGCTAGTCTATGGGGGGAAGGTCCACCACTTGTCCAATATGTATAATGCGTTCCACTTCTTCCAAAGGAACGAGTCATTTTGGGGAGAATTCTCTGTGCCTCCTTTGAGAGTGCTACTTCTAACTGATGAGGGGTGCCATTTTGAAAAAGAGATTAAGACCATTGCATGCAAATTGTTTCTTCAATGTGTGGACATACAGAAGGAGTTCACCAACATATTTGGACCCACCTGTTTTTACATTCTCAAATATGTCTACTTTTTCAAGCTTACGGATGGAATGAACCGGAAGAAGAGGAAGGACGTACTGGGAAAGTTCCTCTTTTGTTCTAATTGGCTAGCTAAATTTCATGATTGTGAAATTGAGCTGAACAAGGCAGATGTGGAATATTTAGAGAACAACCTACGTTTCGTGAACCCCTCGGAGGAGTACTCACTGGAGGAAGAACAGCAGATGTTGGACGTGTTGTTTTCTCGCGTCAAGCCGGTGAATCTCGTTTTGAACGTAGCTAAAATTGTGGCGATGCGTGTCGTCCTGCATGAGAAGCTGGAAATGTGCATCATTAGGTTCGTCCCAAAAGGCGGCGGACTGTTCAGCGCGGGGTCTGGCGAGGAGGTGAGACATTGCCTGGAGAGGCTCCACAGGGGGAGGAGCCTGCAGGGAAATCTCCATCCAAGTGTAGATCCATGTCTAAATCCAGGTGTAGAGCCAACTGTACCGCGAAGTGTACCGCGAGATTTACATAGGCGCGTCGCTGAACGTGGTGCCGACGAGGTGGACCTCCCCCCCCACGTAGGAGACTCCTCCGATGAGGCCCCCTCCGAGAGAACGGCTTCCCAAAGTGGCGCCAACTCAGATGGTGACCCCTACGCCTACCTCGCGGACAGCCCAAAGGTAGAACAAATTAAAAAATGTTTTCTAAAAAAAAACGAAAAGGAGTTACTAAACAGTAAGTATAACTTCTTGGTAGAGAAGGGGTTGAACTCTTTTGAGAAAATTCTGAAATGCTCCTTTAGGATCCCTGAGCATGTGATTTATTTGAAGTGTGGCCTGAAAGCGTCGTGGGAAAAGGCGGGTTACTTCAACCAGGGAGAGCCAAGCCGCAGTGAAGCAGATGATCTAAAGAAGGAACCAGTCAGGGGAGACAACTCCAAGGGGGAAAAGAAGGGACAAACGAAGCAGCCATTTGCGGAGGTAGAAAAAAAGCTACTCAGCAAAATAAAAAAGACGTCGAAGAGAAACCAGCAAGTCATTAACCGATTGAGAGATAACACAAATGTGTGGTGCATCGACGCAGGGAAAATACACGTGACCAAGGTGAAGACATCCATAGAGACAAAGCTCAGAGGAATACTCCAACATAGGAACAGTCTCTTCCATCAGAAGAACATAAAGAGGGTAGACAAACTATGGGCCCAGTTTTTAAAAAAAAATAACTATGCCAAATTGTCTGCTTTTTATTACTACTCTCCGGTCAATATCGATAGCATCGTGGACATCGACACGGAGCACCTTCTTCTGTACAATTCGTTTTTATTTTATTTCAAAACGGAGGAGGAGTTGGACACATTTAGCAAGGACCCCATTGGTTACTTAATACAGATGAAACCAGACCCCTGCTTTGTGCCCCCCTTCATACTTGTGTACTCGGATGGAAAAATGGAGGACTTGTACGATGAGCTGGCGAGGAACACCAAGTGTGCGGTGATTCATCCGCAAAATTTACTCTCCTTCGGTTTCCAAATCGGGAAATTTAAACAACTTATGCGGACGAAGCGCCTGACCGATGCGGACATCATGGAACTGCTGCGCATTCGGATGAATCAGTACGATGTCCTCGCCCACGGGTGCATCCTCTGCAACCTCCCCTATAGCAGGTTCCAACTGGAGCATCTCCTCAAGGAGAAAAAAATCCCACACTTGGTTTTTATACTGCACAGGGGGGAGGGGCAGCCACGAATGGAAGCGGCACGCCCAGAAAATGCTGCGTCCCAGAAGGCCGCCTTCCAAAATGCCGCGTCCGAGAAGGCAGCCCCCCAAACGATGGGCAAAAAACCTAAGCACAGAGAGGAAGGTATGCCCTGCCCGCGCACTGAGGGAACATTCCCGCAGTACTACCCATTTGTGAAGTACATCGAGAAAATCTTCAAGCCAAAATATAACAATGTCATCCACGTAGAACACACAAATGTGTGGAAAATGAAATGCAAACTGACGAACGACATAGAGAAGACGATAGAAAACTACCAAAGATACAACCGATACAAGTACAACCACAAGACGGCCTACTTCAAAGGGTTCAATATTGAAGAAAGGGAAAATTACGAACAGGAAATAAAGTTTGATAAGTACTGCATAGTTACCTATAAGGAGAAAAACATTTTACAAAAATGCAACATATACGATCACTACACAGTGAACCATGACGGGCGCTTCTACCTAGTGAGTGGTCCCGACGAGGTGGCTATGTTCGAGAAGAACCCCACGGAGTTCACCGTCATAGAGAAACCATTGGCTACATTCGAAAAAGTAGATAAAGTGGAAGAAAACGAGAAGATCGAAAATGAAGGCTTCTGCCTGGTGAGCTTGAGAGACCAAAACGATTTCGTCAAGGGGGATAAACAGTGCTGCATAAAGTACCAACAAAAACTTTACCTCTTCCAGAATGAAGAGAAAATGGAAAAGTTTGTGACTAACCATGGGGACTACTTAAACAATCAAAACATTTTCGAAATTATTTTTGAAAAAATGAAAAACCAAAATGATGTCACTACGATGGTTTATCTGAAGACATACTTGTATGACATCCTGTGTGAGGCGCTGTACGAGTTAGGAAAACACCGACCCCTCTACCCGGGCCTGAGCGTAAAGCTCAGTGCCATTAAATTTCTGGCCTTCTTCTTCTACAAGGAAAACAAACTCTTTTCAGCCCCGTTGAGGAGGTCTTATGAAAAGAACTTCCGCTCCTTCCTAAGTGACTGCCAAATACCCATACATATACAGAAACTCAGGGAGAAGTTTCAAACCAGTTGTACTAGCAAAAACCAGGACATACGGAAGCCCACCAGGAAGTGGACCAAGCGGGACGTGGAGAAATATGAATCGTTCGTAAATCTGTATGATAAGATATTGTACTCGCAGAGGTGGGCAAGGGAGGACTGACGTGTGGGAGGGATGGTCAAGCCGTGTCTTTACGTGTTTGTGTGTCTTTGCATTTTTGTGTGTCATTGCCTCTTTGTGTGCCATTGCCTCTTTGTGTGCCATTGCCTCTTTGTGTGCCATTGCCTCTTTGTGTGCCATTGCCTCTTTGTGTGCCATTGCCTCTTTGTGTGTCATTGCCTCTTTGTGTGTCATTGCCTCTTTGTGTGTTTTTTTTTTTTTTTTTTTTATGTTCATATTTTTTTCCACCTTTTTATGAACGGGCAAGGTGATGTCGAAGTTGCCACGCGGAACAAATTTCGATGAAGTGGAAACACAAAAAAATAAGTGTAACGTGCGAAAGGTAGCGGTGTAACGTGGGCTGGCAGGCAATATGCGCTGTGCGGCCTTTGTGTCTGGTGTGGCGCGCCAACGTCGCCTGCACCGTTCAGGTAAATTTCCCCTTTCGGGAATTTTCTTTGCAGACATGGAGGGGTTGGTTGGCACGTTTGGCTAGCTCGTTCGGATGGCCCATCGCCATTTTCCATTTACTATCCCCCCTGCGAGACGCCGTACTCGGAAAAGGTGCCGAACCCACGCAAGTCAAACAAAATGGTCTCGTTCCGCTTGAAAGACGCGATTTTTTCATTTTCGAAGAGGGTGTGAAACAAACCATGTTCGACCAAATATTGGTAGGCGCGCAGGCCGTACAGCTCGATAATGTTTCCCCTGAAAAAAACGATGTCGTAGGACCCCTCATTCTTTTGGAAAGCTTTTAAGCAAAAGTCAATTGGCTTACCATACGTAACGATATTGTTCAGTGCAACAATTTGGTCACCATGGTGGAAATTTTTTTTGCTCGCTTTCCCCCCCTCAATGATGTACGACACGTAACACCCCCCAATCGAATCCGGATTCTTATTGAGCACAATTCCGATGTTTTTCTTCACGACAACGTTGGTGCAGTTGTTCATATTTTCCTTTAACGTATCTGCCTTCTTCAAAGCAGCCACGGTCAGTTTGTTTAACTCGGCCACGATTTCTCTGAAGTTCTCTCCCTTGTCGTCTTTATAGCCCAAGTGTATCGCTATGTCGTAAAAATTTCTGGCCTGCCAAAACTTTCGGAAGCTTCTGTATGCATCTCCGAGACATTTCCACGCCAATGCGTATTTCGGTTCGTACTTTATTGCCTTTAGCGAAAAGTTAAAAGTGCCTTGCATGTCATTTGTGTAGTAGGACAACATCGATATGTTTGCACAAATGCTGGAGAGGAAGAAGCCATAATATTTACACGGCAACATGCTGTATGCTAATTTCAAATCGTGTAAAGTACGTTCATAGTTTTGCCTGTACAAGTTCTGTTTGCATTTTTCTATTAGCTTTAACGAGGATTCGATACTCATCTGCAGGTTCCGTTTTGAAGTGTGTGTGATGTTCCTTTCTTTTTTCCCTCTCTCGAGTTCCTTTCGCATGCTTTTACTCAAATACGTCATCTCTTCATCAGTTTTTTCCCTATGAGCATCTTCCATTCTTTTGGTCAGCGACTTTTGCAAACGCTGGGAAAAGTTTATTAAGTCTTGCACACACGATATTGGCGCCTGGTAATTGCTTTCCCCAAAGGTGTACGATACGGATGTGTTTTTCTCCTCTTCACTGATGGAGGATTCAATTTGCAGTCGAAAGAACTCGATGAAGGCGCTGTCCATGGAGGAGTGAAACAGGTAATACAGCTGGTCTTTCATCACTTCGGCCTCGATTCTCTGTTCTCCTGCGGAATGTACGCAGATCTTTACCACCTCCCGTTCGTGTTGCGATTCGTCTGGAGCGACACTCCCGTTTTCAGCCTCCTCCACGAGTTCGCGCGGGATGAGCTCGTCCACATCAGACGCATGAGCCGCTTCGCCCGCATCATGGTGGTTTCTCTCCCCCTCCGAGCTGTGCCCACTGATCGGCGCGTTGTAGGTTGTCTCCCCAAAGTGCCTTTTCGCATCGTCGTCCTCGTCAAAGCTGAGCAGCTCATCATCGTCTAGCTCCTCATCCAACACATCTGCCGTGTTTTCTTCCCTCTCTTCGTCAGTTGGCTGATAAGGGTCAGGAGGAAATTTTTTTTTCTTTCTCTCTAAGTGATCGAAGGGATACATGTAGCCTGACTCCTGGATGTCCTTTTCCTTCTTGCTTCTGTAAAATAGCTTAGTCTGCTTATTCCCTTCATGGTTACGAAGCGTGTTGTGGTAACAGGACCGTACATTGCTCCCTATCCTTTGTGTGGCATTGGCTTTGCTGGAATAGACGCAGTGCCGCTGTGGGACGCGAATGGGCTGTCCTTCTCCACCCCACAGCACCAGCCTTTCGCAACAATGCGGTACCTTGAATGCCCCGCAAAAATGGAAAATAATGTAGTACACAGTGAGGATATTCCCAAACTTAGTCATTAAACTGGACCGAAGGGGTTACGCACGTGAGGGTGGGCACACATAAAGTGCATAATTGAGAAGCTACACATGTGTACAGTGTGTTGTTAACAATGCGCCCTTCCCTCTTTCCTTTTTTTTTTTTCCCCTTTCCGTTGCATTGTTTCGAAGATGGGGCAGTCGGAGAGGAATAAATGTCCATTTCGGTTTTCCCCTTTTGTATAGTTACTCGGAAAAAAGGGCCCCCGGGTTGGAGGAGGAGAGGAATCTCTTCACTGCTATACTTAGGAAGCCCCTTTTATGTAGAAGTTCCCCTGATTGGCAATCGCAGGAATGAAGAAGAGTCATTCCTCAAACCATACTCACCGAACGGATCTGTTCGTCCTAACGCTTTGCAAAAAATACTAGTGAGGTAGGGACCATTTGGCGCCTCTCATTTTTGGGGAGAAAAAAAAAAAAAAAAAAAAAAGATTGATCAAGAACTGGACCAATATTTTGAGGTATTCCCCCTTGAGACTAATCCGTTCAGCCGTGTGGCCGTAGAGTTTCCATGAGGACAATGGCACAGCTGCTTCCTAGTCCGCTTTTACCTGGTGTCGTGGGGAGGAGGGAACAACTGAACGAGGATGTTGCTTTGCTGTTATTCCTGTATTGTTTTGTTAATTTATTTTTTTTTTCTTTTTGCTTTTTTTATTTCTTTTTTCTCTTGCTTTGCCCCCTTTCCACTTCGAGAAGCGGCACGCAGTAACAGTAATGATCCCATTTTAAAAACTGCCTCGGCACCACACCTATATATTCGGGCCTTTCCCCAAGTTGCAGATACTTGTGACCGCGGGGAGAAACAGGGGAACCCATATGCACCGCACCTGTCGAGGCGAGGTGGCAACCGCATGAACCGCGGGAAGCGCCACACGGAGGGGCATAAACCCCTTCAATCGGGGAATACCTTGCGCGCGCGACTGGGCCGTTTGTCCATATGATATTCGCAGAACGGGGGTGTCGCTCCGCCGAGTGATTCACCGCCAACTCATTACATCTCGTCCCATTACACCACTTGCACGTTCCTGTTTGCACACCGCGCCGCCCGCGAAAGGCTGAGCGGCCAAATGAGCAAAAGAGCAACGCATTCAATCGCGCAAAAAGAATGCAACGCGGGAACGCCTTCAAAAGGTCTCACTAGTCATCCCGTCATCCAGAAGGATGAAAAAGAAAAAAAAAAAAAAAAATCATTGTGCAAAAGGAACCATCGCATGGGATACCACAATTGCCATAGGGCGAAACTTTACACATGGATGATCATACAGTCCACGCGAACATGTTTCACTCCACCTCTGTTTTGTAAAACGTCTAGTTGGTGAAGAGACCATATTGAAACAGCAAAATTGTATTAAAAAAAGGTGAGGAAAGGATTTATCAAAAGGGTCAACCTGCGATGAGTGTAATTTTTTTACCCCTCTGGGAATGACTGAAATTGCCCCATTTGGTATGCCCCTTTCGTTTCCCTTCATTTCAATTCATTTTTTTTTTTTTTTCCACGTAGTAAAATGCATACACATACTTTTGAGTGCACGGATGGCACAAAAGGGGAACCCTCTCCTCAATTTTGAGAATGACGATGAATGTTTGGCGCAAGTATGTACTTCTTTCCCTCTTCCATTTTGTTTTTATTTTTTCTTTTTTTGGTGTTTCTTTATTTCCATTTTTTCCACCCGTTCCACTCTCTTGTTTGAGCTGCCTCTACGTTTGTCAATTGGCCCATCGAAGTTTTTAATTTTGTCGCGAAGTTATTTCAGCACTGTTAATGTGTTTTTTTTTTTTTTTTACATTTCGAGGCAGATAAGTGTATCCTTTTACACGTGCACATGCATACGTGTATTCATCCCAGCGTAGGGAAAAGCACATATTCACATAAGTTGACTTTCACGCGTGTTCATTTTTGCATGCCGAGCAAAGGGACAAAGCAAACTTTAGGAGGCGAAGTGGTCAACTGTTTAGCACACCTTCTCCCCTCCCCGCTTAAATGATGTTATCGAATCCGGCTGGTATTTTCACACGCATGTTTTTGTCATTCCCAAGGGGACATATATGCACAGACGCGCAGACGTGAAAACGCTCAAATTGGGCGAGTGTGCATTCGCCTCCACAAGGCAGGGAACTATCAATCCTCCTGATTTTCCCGGGATGGTGGTGATTTTTCTCCAGACCAGGTGGAGAGAAAGTGAACAAAATTGCCAGCGCTCCCCATTTTGAAGCATACCCGAACTTCTTTTTTTTTTTTCTTTTTTTTGTGTCCACCCCTTTGACCGAGGAGTGCATATGCATGTGCTTCTACACACATGCATGCATCGATGCAGACATACAGATATGTACACATATCTGTATACATCTGTGTGTTCGTGCCTCCCCTCCAGTGAGCCCACAAAGTTGTTCCCACCGGGGGAACTGCAGTCCAGCCGATCTTTTGTCTTGTCCTCCCGTCACATCTGAGCCGAAGCGAAGATAAACCGCAACCCCTCAGCAGAATTATGAATGATGAAAAGAAATTTGACTTTGTAAGTGGACATTGCAAAGAGGCACTTTCCTACTGTGGGAAGTCCAACGGAGGGGCGACCTTGCCCTGCCGTGCGACGATATAGGCCCAAGGGCACACCGCTAACCTCCACGATGCTAACCCTCCCAAAACCTTCTCCTCTTCTGCAGGGTCTCGATCAGTCCACGGCTAGCAATGGGTTATTCACCGTCATAGAGAGGAAGCCCCTCTCGTCACTGTAAGTGGGGGAGGAGCAGAGCGGCATGTATGGTGTATGTGGTACTCCTCCATGTGGACACTACGTTTACCACGTTAGTTATGCCTGCCACGTCTATCACTACTTCACCACTCCATCTCTCACTGATTCCACTCCCCCCCCTGCAGCGGAAACAACGAGAGCCTGAACCTGAGCAATCTGAGTGACCCCCTGTCCAATTCGATCGATGGGGTAAATAAGAAGGCAAAGGATTACAGCACCCAGAATACGGACAATATTTGTGAAATATATCGCCTGAACACTTCGCAGCTTCTAAATGAGCATCCAGAAAATACAGTGAGCAGAATCAGTTACGTGGACGATGACGTGTCTTCATTTTATGACTCGGAAAAAGAAGATGAATTCTATTTCGACAATGACATTTCGACGCTGGGATCATGCTATTCCGTTCCTAGTCCCACCAAAATAAGTAAAGGGAAAAAAGCAAGAACGAGCATCGTTGCGTCCGTTTCTAAGAGGTATTCTGTGGGGAGGAGATCAGATGGGGGAAGAGCTTCCGATGCGGGAAGGAGCAAGCAGAACCCGTTTTTTGACCCAACTTTTTCAAATGACTCCCCTGTTAGTGGTAACCAGTTTGGAAAAAATCCAGACGGTAGGGACCCCAGCAGATACACCCAATCATACGGTCGTGATGATAGAAGAACGAGATTAACCACCATAGATGCATCGAATGAATCCCTCCAAAATGATGAGAACAGTGAGGAGGAAGCACAATTTGGGAAGCGAAACTATGACGACGAACTAGGACAGTCGCAGAATAGCAACGACGAGAAGGCCATTCGGGTAAACAAAAATGTATATAGAATAGTCAACCTTGCGAAAGCGGGGGATGACGATAAAGAGACTGTCATTAGGAGGATAGCGCAGGTGAGGAAGAGTATGATGAGGGAGAAACGTGCAGGCGAGGAGGGCCATGCGGAAGGAGCCGAAGAAGCAGAATATGCCCATTATGCAGATGACGCAGATTATGTCGATCACGCAGATCACGCGGAAGGGGAGTCTCCGCCCCACTACGACCCAGCATGGAATGTGTCCAAACTGAGGGAACTGCGCACGGGCAAAGGAGCACCCCCCAAGGGGGCATTCAGGGAAGACCCTCAAGGGGAGAGAAGTAACAACCGATTTAGCGAAGGGAACTATTTGAGGCAGAACGATAAGTTCTCTCGGTACAATAGTGACAGGAGAGTAAAATATATAGAGGCGAAGGACCAGGGGGGGGACGTTTACATGCAGGGCCACCGAGGCGGTGACAACTACGGTGAGAGCGACTACCAGGATGAATCATCCTACTACAGCTACGAGGGCACCGAAGAAGTGAAACCAAGTGGTGACTCCCAATTTAAGAAGAGGAAAAAACATATGTTCCTTCCTAAGCAGCCCGGACAGGGCACTTCTTCCGATGCACAGAAATGCCTGAGAAGTGAGAACCAAGATGAAGTGAGCCACCAGTACCTTCACGGAAATGGATTGCACGAGAAGAGACAGGTTAGGAGTAGCAGACCATTTGGAGACCTCCCAGAGGATATAGTCGGAGGGCGAGCCTCATTCCAAGGGAGCGAGGCCAATGTGGATCTGACTTGCAGCACCGAGGGAGGGATGGGCCATGGTGAGGAAGACACCTTCCAGAGTGGAGGAGCCCCCCATCGAGGTCGATATGGAGATGGCCATTTCGGGAACGCACGAGAGAGAGGAGGGAGCGGCAACGGTGAGAATACCAGCCACCGCGCCTATCGCATCCACCAGTACAGTGGCATCGCAAAAGGCTACCATCGCGTCGCGCGCGTGAGGAGAGACACTGGATTGGGTGCAGACGGAAATGCGAACGTTGAAGCGGATGAGAGGTATGGCATCGATGAGAGGGAGGAAGAAGGGGTGGATGACTCGAATCATCAGCAAATGAATAGAAGAATGCACCATGCGAACAAGCAGAACAGACAACAGTACATGGACGAAGATGTGCCACCACCACGAAGCATGCACATGAATGGCTATGATAAGACACACAAGGGGAAGTACCCCCAGGGGAACTACTCCTATGAAGATGAAAAAAACATGGTGGGTCCTAAACAGGATGAGTTATTTCCAGGGGATGTGTATCCGCCTGCTCGTGACATGCACTCAGCGGAGGAAGGAGATGCAACCACGTATTTTAGAAGTGCTCACAGTAGGGGGTACAGAAAGGTACGCGGAGAGGAGGATCCGGATAAGGAGGGGGATGAAGAGGCCAATTACAAAAATAGCATGTATCGAAATGGTAGGCACCCAGTGGGTATGTGGGGGGCAAACCAAGGTAGGATGGGCGATCAGTACGAGGTGGACTACAGGCACCACGTGGACGATCGGTACCACGCGGGAGACAGCTCGTTTACTGACTACCGCTACGGGAGCAGCTCCAGTAACACACACCCCTATCATCGAGGTGAATACATGAGGGGGGTTAACCAGTCCTATCGAAGACAAGATTCGAGTGAGAACCAGATAAGAGCCTACCCCCGTGGGGGGAATAGGAAGTATGACCAAAGGAACGATGGTGATCCTCACGCTGGTGACGATGGGCTTGACTCCTATGGAGTACCTCATGAGGGCAGCCACTATCACAGCGGATACAGTCCTATTCACCAGCGAAGTAGCTATGAAGGGGAGGACTATTACGATGAGGAGTTTCATCCCCACAGGGAACCCTCATCAGATCAGGGAGATTATTATGACCCACGTGCCATGTCATATGAACACTACAGAGAGTTACACACGGATGATCAACAGAGGAATGCTTTTTCTAAGAGGACCCCTCCAAACAGTCAAAATGTTACTAAGCCGTATTTTGACGAAGGAGCGAATCGGAGAAGTGACAATCCCGCCAATGTATCTTATCAGCAGGGTGAAGGAAAACATTGCACTCTGGATGATAAGAGGACACGTCTCAATGAAGACGACATGGATGGAGATCACCCTAAGGTTAACTTAAATGGGCAGAGTGCCACTCCCCCCACGGTGGTCTCTGATGCCCCTGTATTGAGTAACAAATCGACTAACCCTTTAAGTGACGTTAAGGAGAATACAACTGGGGAAGCAAATATGCCGAATGAGAATGCGACCAATGCGACCAGTGTGACCATGGTTGGGACTACACTCCCGTTGCAGATCGTCACGCAGAGTACCACTCAGGGTGTTTCACCCGCCGTGCAGGCAAACCAGCCAGGCAAGGAAGAACCACAGCAAGTGCAGTCACAACCGCTGGCGCAACCGCTTCCGACACAACCACCGGTGAAGCGCAAGCGGGGAAGACCCAAAGTGAAGAAAACTACCACCCCGTCGGAGGAGGCCACATCGGTCGACCCTCACAGTAACGTGGCATCCGCGAAAGGAATGGCCGTCCCCACCATGCAGCTGAATAACCAGACCGGTGCCCCCGCGAGTGGTCCGAGCGGAAATGTAACCAGTGAACAGAACCATCCCCCCCTCTACAACAACATGGGCTCTGTGATTAACCCTCCTTATAACAATCAGATGAGTAACCCCAATGCGCACCTCCAAATGGCAATGGAGCACCCCTCGAGTTACCAGTTAGGAGGACCCACTCAGGTGTTAGGGCAGCCTTTAGGGCAATTAATTGGACAGCCTCTTGGGCAAACACTGGGGCATCCACTGGCGGACCCGCACAACACGCAGAACCAGCTAAACCAGATAACCCAGATGAACCAGCTGAACCAGATGAACCCCTTGAGCGCCCACCTGGCACAGCAGATGGGCCTGCCGGTCGGGCAGCACCTGAACCCGCAAGTGGGACAACATATTGGGCAGCAGATGGGACAGCAGCTGAGCCAGATGCATACCCAGATGAGCCAACATATGAATCAGCAGATGAACCAGCACATGAACCAGCAGGCGAATCACCAGATGAAGCAGCAGATAAGCCACCACAACGGATACCTGCTGCCAACTGGAGCGAACAACCACTTCGGTGCAAACATGAATGAAGATCAGTACACCCGGACATACGCCTCCTTCGAACCGGATGTAGCAAATCATGCAGATCCCACTTTCTGTAACAGACATTTTGAACAAGCGAGAAACAATCGGGACAATCTTTCCTACGAGGGAGACGATGGAGGAGAGTATCAAACCAATAAAAGAAGGATAACCAGATCGGATGGTACTGGGTCGGAGGAAAGACATTCAGAGAAGGAAATTAAAAAGGGACAGAGAAGACGGCGCAGAAGACGAAAGAATGAAATGGACCAAGCAGACACACATTATAAAAAAAGCAGCAGTAGTAGCAATCAAAGTAACGTAAACCATGCAGAGAGTAAGTCGGTGGAGTCATATAGGAACAAATCCAATGATGACAGCAACTCCAGGAGTGAGCACAGGGCCGACCAGGACTTCTCCACCTTCTTGGACGAGAACAACAAGCTCGTTTCGTACAGTACGTTTGAAAAGAGGGGGTCGCGAAAGGTCGCGGAGAGCGGCCTAGCGAGTCATGCCCATTCGTTTGGCTCACCCCATTGTTGATGCACTTGCGCCATCGACGTAGTATCACGTGTGGATATCCTTCCACGTGATGTCATGCGGTAACATGCGATGTCGTGTGATGTCATTTTATTTTTATTTCCATTTTCCTTTTTTTTTCGGAAGGAGTCGCCTACAACCCCGCGGACACAGTGTGGGAAAGGCTGTCCGGTGTCAAGGTAACCCCGCGGGGATCCCCCTGGGCACACCATCGGTCTACATTCTCCTGCGCATTATCAAGGAGAGCTGCACCCCCCACACACCATTTATTTCACCCCTCTTTCAGATCGGCCCGCTGATACTGACGGCCCAAAGCAGAACGACGAATGTCATTTTGGCCAAAAACAGATCCATCGAGCTCGGAAACATAAACCACAACCTCATAGTAATATTAAAGAAAAAAAAAAAATAATATATGTATATGTGTATGTACACATGCACTACTTCCTTCCGTCCTGTGGTGCGAAAAGATGTTGCCGCCACTTGGTGCTCTTCCCGTCGCTTCCCCTGCCATATGTCCGCCCGACCCTCCCCCTTACTGCAGTATGGTTACATTTACAAAGGCGATAACGTCAGACTGAGCATCGGAAAGGAGACGAGATCAGTGAAGACCGGCTCGCTGTTCTTCCTTCCCAGCTACAACGACTGCAGCATACATAACGATGACGCGTAAGTGTAGCGGTCCCCCCGCGAGTGCAGCGTCGACGCGCAAAAGCACACGAGGTGTGCTGCTGTGTCTAATTTTGGAAATACTCCGCTGATAACTCTGCGCGGTCACCCTGTCCGGTTACTCTGTCCGGTCACATGTCTGCCCCGCGTGCCTGTCGTCCATTTCACCCCCATTTTTTTCAATTCCTTCCCCCCTGCAGCCTCGGAACCGCCAAAATATTTTTATGCTTTGTTTACCTCAGCAAGGTCACCTGAGTTGACCTAGACACGTTCCATTTGGCATTTATTTTTTTTTTTTCTTTTTTTGACGACGCTATGTGTCACCCCCCCCGTTTGTGCGATTCGTTTCGAAAGCGAAATGTTTTTTTTGTACCCCTTTGTATGTGCATGCGCGTTCGTGCGAGTGCTTACGTGTGTGTTTCCCCCAACAGTGCAGTAACCGCTGTGAAAAGTAACAAAACGATCATTTGGCTAGCTATACATAAATGAAGGGAGTTCCTAAGGGAATCACCAAAAAAAAAAAAAAAA